ATTTGATATAGATGATCACTATGATGGATCTTTCGGGGAATCACATTAGAGATACTGGAGCACAACACTTCGTTGTAGCCTTGCAAAACAACAAAGTAACGAAATGTTTTTAGTCATTTGACATTGCCTTATGTTTATTGTTATATGTTAGATACTCAAAGAATTGAACCTTTACAACAACAAAATATGGACCAAACTACAAGATGATTTGAAGACGAAAGATGAAAGATTCTGTTTTTCACCATATTAGTATGATGATTCTGATTAAGATTCGAAATGATGATTCATTTTTTTTGTTCAATTTTCAATAAAATAAAGAAACAAAATAACCAAAATGTCGATGTGATAGAATTCTTTGAAGTTTATGCTTCTAGGAGGACTCAATGGTTAGTCTTAAGAAAGCTGATCTATCGCATTATGTTTTATTTCAGTATGATATCGTTGTAAGCTATTGGAAAAAGAAAAACAATTCTTGAAATTTATTGAATCGTAGTACTATTTTTGATATAATTAAGATGAATACTTTTGTTTCTATGAAAGTTTTGTAAATAATATTAATATTTCTGGATGATTCTCTCTGATATAACTATGAATAAAAAAGACATTGATATAGTAAAATATCTTTTTATAAAAAAGAAATTCAAAGTTGATGAATATGTACTTATTTCTTCATTATCGTCTGATATTGTTCTATCGTGTCATTTTATTTAAAGATTGGTTGTATCCTAGATTTGATTTAACAATACTCATTAGTAATATGTTAGAAAACAGTCTTATCTTCATCTCATTGAGTTTTTAGGAACAATGTGTGTGTATTGTGTATTCTTTGAAGAGATCTGCTTATTATCTGGGGCTATTTGATTTTGTAAGTTATATTCCCTTCAAAAATTTTCAAATAGATTTCACAATTCTAACAATGCAACTGTTTCTGATGTCAGTTGGTATTTAATAATTATATTCGGTTCAAACTAGCACGCTCAACAAGGGTGGGTGTGGGTGTGGGAATGGATCAGGATGTGTTTAGATAAACTCACACCGACACTCACACGCACACCCAAACAAGCTCACCCAGCCTCCCAGCTACACCCACACATGCTCACCCAGTCTCTCACCCACACCCACAGATGCTCACCCAGTCTCAGTATCACAACCACACCTGCTCACTCAGTCTCCCACATGCCAGCTCACCTACACCCAAGCATGCTCACCCACACCCAGGCATGCTCACCCACACCCAAGCATGCTCACCTGCACCCAGACATGCTCACCCAGTCTCAGTGACACACCCACACTCACTCTCGCTGTCAGGTTTTTTATGAAGATAAAGTATTGTTAGACTTTTATTTAAAGAAACAAAAAAATGTACAAAAAAAAAAGAATTAAACAAGTTTTTTAATATATTCGATGGTGTCTGCATCTTCGATCATGACTTGTATTTTTCGACACGAAAATTTAAGAAAATTGCCACTGGCGTTTCGACGATTAATGCCGTGTTGGCATGGCTTAATTTGCATAATTTTTTTTGGTGTGTTTGGTTCTTGATTTTGTAAGATTAAAATGACGCCTGGACATGCGAGGCGACTTCCATTCATTGCCATGTTTTCAATGATCAAGTGTTCAGGTCGTAAACAGTTTTTCACGTCACACAAGTGAGAAGCTATTAATGAAAAAAATGTTATGAAATTATTGAGTTCGAATTTTTTTTACTTGTGTTGCCGCCATCCTTCGTTGTAAATTTTGACAACTTCTTCTTTAATTTACATCGAAGGACCACATGATGACTCCGTATCGAAATTAATCTAATATGATTAGATGTGCAGAAGATGTTTAATTTTGGCTGCAGAAATTCTAATTTTAAATCATGATTTAATATTGTGTCGTTATATGCAGGTGTTATTGTTTCAGCAGAGGCGTCAGTGACATAGCACGAAAGCCAATCTTTAAAAAATTCTCCTATTAAAAATAAAATTTTATACAATGAAGTGATCATAAAATCACTTACCATCTTCAGTTGTTACACTGACGAGTTTAGCGAGCTCGTCAATATTAATATCATCATCGAGATTCTTCGATATAATTTTAAAATCGCAGTTATTTTTCGTGTACATAAAACGTTTTAAACTAGTCGCGGTAGATTTTGACAGATTGTTGATAAATTCAAGCCCATACGATAATTCCCGACCTTCCGAAGACGGCGATGGTACGGAAGAAGTGTGTATTTCAGACGGTAACTGTTTGAGAAGATTTAGTTTTTTCTGTCTCGTCTCACCGGCCCGAAACATAGAAAATTTTCTCTAAAAAATTGAAAATTATAGTTTATAATTTTCACAAGAAATTTACGAACTTTTAATATTGTTAAAGGACATTTTGTTCTTTCAATCAGCTCTTCAAACTGATCCTTAGTTGGATGAGGCGTGTGCAAAAAATAAGACCGTAAATAAGTCCTGCCAACTAAAGTGAGTTGTTGAGTTTTAACATCAAATAATAACGAAGAAGTAATAGGCATAGCCATTGCAATAAAGAAATACGCGCGTTCGACAATCGATAAATTATAACAATATCCAAATAATAAACGAGCGATATGAAACAAAACAAATTAGAACACAATCTCTATACAAAAGTTCAAACAATGAACTATCAGTAGCTCACACGTCCGCGCCGTCTAATTGCAAACAAAATTTAATCATTTTCCTATCACTCGACCAAAATGAACAAACTCAATCAAAACAAACAGACGGCCACACACACCACAATCAAATTTCGTTCAGCATCAATCCGCTACACTTCATTTCGATCAAACACAACCCGCTGCTGTTAATTTCGATAATCATCGATGCGCTGCTTTGCGTTTCGCTCAAAAATAATGCGCTGATGTTAATTTCGTTCATAATTAATGTGCTTCACTTCATCTTCAAAATCTCTGATTTCTAAAATTTGAATTTGGTAAGCCTGGCTCATCCACACCCAGGCATGCTCACCTCAGTCTCAGTGTTACACCCGCGAAGGCCTACCCACCCACACCTACACACTCAGTCTCCCACTCTCACCCACACTCGCACACACACACCCAGTCTCACTCACACCTACAATTTTACGCTCGCACACCCACACTCTGAAAAAAGTTTTGCAAAACATAGTAACATATGCAATTAAATTTCAAAAGTTTTATTTACAAAAAATTAACAAATTACAATTTATAGAGAGAAATATGTTCACGATTAAATACAACAATTTGAATTTTTCGACAAGTGTGTTGAAGTTGTTGTTCGAATGTAGAATTCTTCAGGCTTCTGCCATGCTTGCAGAGTTTCACCTGAGTAATATGATGTTCACCTGCAGCGTTCTTATGGATGCGCATTATAATACCAATGCAGCCGATTCGAGATTGATTTTCTTCTACTGTTTCAATCTATATATGATGTTTCGATATACACCATGTGGTGTCACATAGATGTGATCCTACAACAAACAAAAAGTATTTACGAGACTGGCGTGAAAAGAAAAGAAACATACCTTGCTTTGACCCGCTGAACGTCGAAAATAACGGTCAGGATTGCTCCGATATCGATCGTAGAACTAAGTGATGAATATAAACATGAAAAGAATTCGATGAGCAGAGTGCTGATAATTTCGCTGTTATTGACGGCCATATTAAAAGACTTTTATGGACCTGCAGATGTGTATGATGCGCCGGTGGAACGAGCAGAAGGTCTTTTCTAATTAAACACTTCATCCATTCAATAAAATATGCACCTAAAAGAAAATAATGTTAATGTTTCGCAACGAATGAAAAAAACTCACCATTGAATGGTCCAACACTTGTTGCTGATTCCAGTTCCTTCATCGTCGGAACAGATGAAATGTGACGCCAATTCACTAATTTTTCATATGGACCCCTCGGAATAATTTCGTCCAACCAAGCTTTTGATTCATCGACAGATAAAGTATCCAAAAAAGCTTGTGATCTTGACTTCTTAACATTAACACTGCATGATGTCGATCTCTTTCGCTTTCCTGATGCCATTAGGTAAAAGAATAAGATAAATAATGATCGAAAATGTAACAAAAAATACCAAAAAAATGATGTGCACTAGCACAGTGCACACGACAATATATATAATCAAACCGAGACAATGAACGCAATACCGCTCGACGTGTGCTCCGTCTAATTGATCCAGAATTGATTCATTTTCCAACAATTCAAATAAAAGACAATCAACACACAATTCACAAAATAAACGACCGCCACACGAGCCGCAACATATCCATTTTCATTTACCAGAATCACTTTTCTGAAAAAACCACCACCACTACCTTCTATTGAACTAAACATAAACTAAACACACTCCGCACTCTCCGTCCAACCGAAAAAACACAACCATTACATCCTGAGAGTGTGGGTGTGGGCGAAGGTATGACACTCAACTGTTATATCTATATTCTCAAGATGCAAATATTAATGTTGTTACAAATTCTTTTTTTTTCGAAAAAATTCTTTTTCCAAACACTGAAGTTCCTCGTTATATGATTGATTTCATCTGTTTTTTTTTGATAATTTTGTTTACTTACTATTGTATCTACAAGTCGTATTGCTAGTAATAGCTACTTTATAAACTATCTTATGTTACAATTGTATATTTTCAAGGGAAAACAATGCTAAACGTTATAAAGAAATACTGAGCACAAAACAAAGAATAAAAAAAAATAAAAATAAAGAAAAGAAAAGCTTATTTCCTGTCGCAAATTATATATGATAGATATTAGCGAATGAATAAGGAGAGTCGGATAGGATGTTTCCAATAAAAACCATATGTAATGCGCTGATAGATGCCCAAAGAAATAAAATCATTTGTTTTCACGCGTTTTGCCAAAGAAAAATGAAGTTTGATGAGAGAAATTTTGTACCAAATCAATAAATAAGGATATAAATAAAGAATATTTTAAGTTAAAATGATTCTCACTGCAGAAATAAAACATCAAAGTTGATTAAAGTAAGTAAGGAAAATAATTAGTAGAACTTAACATCTCAAAGAAACTTTTCAAAAGCAATAAAATATGACCGTCGGAGAGTTATTGATAATCGTCATGGAAAAGTTTTTTTTTCTTTTTTTTTTATATATTTCCTCTCTTCAAGTATATAGATAATATAATATGTTTCGAGGATGGCTAAAAGAGAATCTTTTCTATTCTGATTATCTCTGGATATATTATTCATCTGTCACTTACTCACACTCTTATTCCTAGAGTATTATTTTTCTTTTCATCAAGAGTATCAAAGTTAATAAACGCAAATTATCATATTCACATTTAATGAATTTCAGATTTTAATCAATGTTTTACTCTATCCTTAGTTACCTTGAAGAAGATTCCTTTGATATCAAATATAAAATCTCATTTTTCACACTATAATCAAATCAATTCGTTATTATTTTTCTCTATACGTTGAAAAATACATTTATCGAATAAAATCAACATTAATGTTCACTTATACATAGTAACTGTTGGGTGTGAAATAAAATTTGAATACATATCATATTCATCATACAACTTTAAATCGATTAAATAAAATATGCAAATCATTAGTGGCGATAAAAACATATGTCTATTACGTGCTCCTTTCTTTCTTTTTAATTCTACTTTTTTTCTTTACAGTAAATATTGTAACCGATTAGTTTTACTTGAAATGTTTTGAAAAAAATGATGAAAAAATACAAAATCAGTTAATATAACACTCCGGACTGTTATTTACCGAGGAGAAAGTCATGCTTTTCTACTCGTTTCACCTTGTATATATAGCTAGTCAAAATGTATTGTTTAAAGTACATGTTCGAAAAGGAAATTAGTTTTAAGAAGAACTGCTCATTCTTCAGACAATATAATGATGGAATGAATATCTTTATATCTGATGTAAATAACTGTAACACTCTGAATGAAATTATATGATTCAAACATAAATTAGTAACAATAGAAATACAAAATAGACAAAAACCTGAAAAAGAAGATTGTAGATATCAGAATAATTAAACGAAACTTCAGGGGTGTGGGGATGAGTGTGAGTGTAAAATGGAAATAATACCCACATCCATCTACACTCATCATCGAACTCGATGTTTCATATCATTTTAGATCAATACTATTTGTATTTTTTACATAAATACTTTGTATTAATAAATAGCGAATACCATTACTCTTTCATATGATCCTTACACTTCAGCCAAGGAACTAGTTATTAAATATTCATATAGGTCATCTTTAATTATGATGGACTACTTAGAAATGGTAGTATACAATCTTTAATAGCATCATTGGTATGATCTAACAAACAAACTCATAAGTGATATATGTTCTAATTTGTCAACAAGTGTTTAGAATCAAAATTGAATTTTTATTTATTTAATAAATATTTAGAAGTATTAGTATCAAGTAAGAATAATGAAAAATATATGAAAAAGAAAAAGAAATAAATGTTAATAAATTCATAAAAAAGAATAGCATAATATAGAGAAGAAGAAAAAAGATTTATATATGGCATGAATATTAGTATATACAATCGTAGAAAGAATGTTTGATAAATATATATACATAGTCCAATAAGTAAGTATAATTTTTGAGTACCAAAGGAATATTATTGCCATTTGATCTAAGCATCTAAAATAGAATAGAACATTCGTAAATAAATATGAGATACGTCAGATTTAAGCAGTCAGGTAAAACGGAAAGAGTGAAATAACTGAGCACATGAACGATCCACTATCATTTTAGTTTTAAACAGCATCAAAAAATGTATATTTTAGAATGAGAACCTTAAATCGTTTTGATATTTTAACGACACGTCTTCAATGAAATTTGTATGTGAGACACGACTTAATTTCCATCAAATTAAACTTCTAAAATTTTATAATGCAAATCACTCTGAATTTGAAACCTTTATTTATAATAAATATCGATCAGAATGATTTTCAAAATCAAAATAGTAAGTAAACCTGTTTAATGAAACTATGTGTTTTCTATTAATTTTTATAACTATACAAATCCTAGTCAATTTTATATCAGTAAATTGCATATATGAACGATAATAATGACAAGGAAAAGAAAAACATTCATTATTATTATTTTAGTTAACTTACGAAGACAAGATCCAGCATTATATGAAGCATCAACGACCCAAATTATAATTGAAGATTGAAAATAACATGCATTCGATGCAATGATAATTCTCCAACCTATACATGAAGGTGTTTGTTGACATCCGGTTAAACAGGCTTGTGAATTAGCAAAAGTTCCTGTTGCTAGTACAATATCACCAGTATAATAACCACCAGTCTGCATTGCGGCACAGGTACCTGCTTTAATCTTCACATCTATGAACAAACAAAAGAAATGATAATGAATAATAATAATAATAATTAAGTAGTTTTTTAGTTAATAACTTACCCAAACAACTTCCGCCGGAGTAAGTTGCATCAGTGATTTGTCCTATAGCTGAAGTTTGTGGCCAACATGTTAGTTGGGTAGAAATATATCTCCATGCTAAACATCTTTCATCTGCAAAACATTTGTTCATGCAATCTTGTGCTGTAGGAACATTGTAAATTGGATCCAAAAGGACACCAATGTAATAAGTACTTGTCAAACTTTCTACACATTGAGGTGTTGTTGGTGATAGCTGAGGAACTATACAATGAGAAATAATGAAATGAATATTATCTACATTAGACAATTTATTAAATAAAAGACTGATATCATTTCTGATATTAGTGAAGAAATATTATAGATGGAACTATATTAATCTTCAATTGATTTCTGCAATCTTAGTATAGGTTTGACTGCAATTGTTTTGACTGTCATATAGTTTTGATAAAAGAAACGAAGTGCGCATTATTTTGGATAGTAAATATATACGTTTCTTTATTAGCTCAGATGAAACATGGTGGTTTATGAATCTGAGAAAGAATAGTTAGTTAATGGAGTTAGTTATAATGCTTACGAAACATTAGAATATTTTTTGTAAAATAATCTCGATAAATTCAGAGTATAATCTTTAATCTATATGTATTGATATTTGTTATATACATTAAAATCTCTATTAGTATGAGATAAATGCATAGGAAGATGTCCTCCTTCGAATCTTTCAGAAATAATACGGTGTTTTTATCCAATATCTTCCTTTTGGCTAAAAATTTAAAATGATTTCTGTAATCAGCTGCTTAGAAAATAGGCTTTTTCAATAGATTTCAATTTTTGTTTTTTTTGAAAGAGCATGCTACGATACATGACATAGCAGTCATTTTTTTAAATTAAGATTTATTTTTATTGTATATTATTCTCATCCTTTTCTCTCAGTGTTTTTGCTATAATAATCGCATCGATGACAAATTTATATATTTTTCTATTACTCTTTACTGCTGTACACATCCTAATCAACTTTATATGACTAAATTGTGCATATAAAGAATAATAATGATAAGGAGCAGATCGAAAAGAAAAACAGTGATTATTATTATTATTATTTTAGTTAACTTACGAAGACAAGATCCACCATTATATGAAGCATCAACGACCCAAGTTATGATTGAAGATTGAAAATAACATGCATTAGTGGCAATGATGATTCTCCAACCTACACATGAACGTGATAGTTGACATCCTGCTAAACAAGCTGCGGAACTAACATATGTTCCTGTTGCTAATACAAAATCACCAGTATAATATCCACCAGTTTGCATTGCTGCACAAGTAGTTGCTTTAATCTTTACATCTATAAACAGACAAAGAAAAAAATGATAATGAATAATAATAATAATAACAATTAATTAGTGTTTTAGTTAATAACTTACCCAGACAGCTTCCGCCTTGATATGTAGCATCAGTGATTTGTCCTATAGCTGAAGTTTGTGGCCAACATGTTAGTTGGGTAGAAATATATCTCCATGCTAAACATCTTTCATCTGCAAAACATTTGTTCATACAATCTTGTGCTGTAGGAACATTGTAAATTGGATCCAAAAGGACACCAATATAGTA